GCGGGTACCATGGGTGGCATGTTCTAACTCCTGTATCAGGGCTGTGCCTTCATCGGTGAACAGTGACAGGGTGGGCAAGGCAGCCTTCCCTGACCTTAACTTCAGAGAAGTCATCTGAAGGAAAGGAAGGAAGAAAAGCCTGGCCGTTTTTAGTTTACAGTATATGATGGTTTAGTGCTGCCGTCGCCCATTCCGACACATAATTTGGTTTTTTTTAACAAAGACGACATTTGTGCACATTACACATTCCTGATACTGGGCCCAACGGGCATTTGCTAGTGTCCTGCTTTCAACACTGTGGTAATTCTACCATTCTGTTGGCAAGACTTCAGTACCTATGTTGGCAGATGAGCTCACATGGAGTCTCCTGTGGGCTCCCTGTGTACAAGAACAATTATGTACAGAGAAGTCTTGAATTATGTGATAAAATTCATGCAGTAGAATTTTTGTATGCAGTTTAAAAATTAAGCTAATAAAAATAATAAAGATTAAAAAAAGAACAAGAAGACAGAAGAGTCTTGGTGACACGAGCTACTTCTTTGGAAGATGTGTGGACTTAAATCCTGAAAAATTCGTTTTTAAGAAAACATGGTCTAGAACTCGAGATCCTCCTGCTCCATCTCCGTGAATGCTGGGCTTACCTGTGCGCATCACTGGGCTGGGTGCTACTCTGAAGAATCTTAAAGTGAGGGAATGATAGGCAAAAGCCAGTTGTCAGAGCAAATAAGGTGGCACTGAGGGAAAACAGGACTGTGGGACAAAGAGGGAGTAAAAGAAAATTTAAAAAGTTGTGAAGTGGGGGAGAAATCGGAAAAGGGGAGCTCTCCATCCAACTTACTGCAGTTCCTCCAGGGTGTCTCGTCGCCTCAGCTGGTGTAAGAGCATGGACTTGGTCTGGATACCAGTGTATCTGGACATAAGGTATAAGACCCTGGTCCGCACACTCTTCTCGCTGTCCATCAACCCCGTAGTCAGTGGAAGAGTGAAAGCTTGATTTATGAAGCCCAGCTTCTCTAGCATCTCCCAGGCTAGTTCACGGATACTAGAGTTGTAATGGGTTATATCTTTGAGCAGGCGGCAGGCTGTCTCAGTGTGCATCTTTGAAGAGATTTGGTGAGTGGCAAAAATCAGTGCCAGTGCATTAAAATATTTCTTGTATTTTTCTGTAGAACAGAAAACTGTGAGGTTGAGAATGGTCTCTACCAAATTTTCTACCATCTCCTCACTAAATTTTCTTCCCACCCAGCTTTTATGTGACATGCTTTCAAGGATGCTATAGGATTCTCTTTTCTCTTCCTGGTACACATCCCTCTTCCTTTTACTTAACATTTCCACATCTTCTAGACTCACAGATGACAGTGACCTGGATCTCAATGACCCACGTGCATCCCTATCCATATCTTTGTAGGATTGTCTTAGGTCATAGCGCAAGAAAACTGGGGTACCATTAGGCCAAAGGCGGGCACGGATCACTGAGTTAGGGATGTAGCAATCTGGAGCAAAGGGCCATTCCCGCCCTTGGCCAAAGAAGGGTTGGAACATGCGGTAGATGTTCAGCCCATCCCAGTAAGGCAGGTGTAACTGAGCAGGGACAACATAAGGATATTTCTGTTTGGAGTCAGAAGTCTCAACAAATTTTTCTTCCACGAAGTACAACCCGGGTCTCTCGTGAGTCAGAGTGGATATGTGTCTGGCCTCCTCCACAACATGGGGCACAGTGCCATCAAAAGCAATGGCCCGTTTGTTGACAAGGGTGTCTAGCCCCTGGAGTTCCTGAACATTTTCTTCCAGGTACACAAATTTGGGTACAAATATCAATTCGAACAAAAAGAAGAAGCTAGGAAGGAAGGGCTTCGGGACTTCTTGTACTTCATCTTCGATGTTTTGTGCATTTAAGTGCACCAGCCGAGTGTAAGGGAGCAGCTTCAGGCAGGATACTATGTAGATGCTCTGCTCAAAAGTCAAAAGCAGATCACCTCGACTATTGGCGAAGCAGGGTGAACCAAAGCGCAGTTCCGAATCAAACTGAGTTACAAGTTTCCCGCGGAAGTCCCAGACCCGGATTGATCCGTCCGTGGCTCCCGTGACAAAAAGTTTCTGGGAGAGGCAGACATCAAATGAAGTGATAGCACATTCGTGCAGGCAGTGTGTCTCTCTCGACAATGAACTTTGTTTTGATTCTGACGTTAGGAAATCTTGATAGCGCCAGAGAAACCAGCAGGAGCGCTCAGTAATGGCCCCCACAGAGCCAGGCAAGAGAACCACGTGCTTTAGGGGATAAACACAGAGTAACTTATTGACGGGCTGCAGGGTCAGGTTCTTCACGGAGCGCACCACCTTCGTGAGGTGTATGTAGTTGTCCTTGCCATAGGAACACAGTAAGGGATTTTCTTCAAACCCCTCCGGGGTAGACAACGCCAGCACCGTCCCAGAATGGATAGCGTTCTCTGTCTGAATCGAGCAATACTGGGACAAGATCCTCACAATGCCGCTCTCGTGCCCACAGAATATCAGTCCTTTTTTACTATTGCCCAAATGGGACCTCCCGTAAGCTAGGCATTTTACTTTATCTCTGTAGTTTTCTGACGTGCACACAAGATATTTGGCCGTGCACGGGGAATGTGTGGCATCGAACACCAGCACCTCTGGGCTGCCTATTGCAACGAAGAGCTCCTCTCTCTCCGAGTGATAGGCCCATGCCACGGCCTTATCCATGACAAGCAGGGGCCACGTAACAACCAGGAGGTCCCCTGTTACTGGAGACAAGAAACGCAGCAAACCGTCCTCTGTGGCACACAGGATACGAACCCAGTTCCGGTCACAGAGGACCCGCTGTATCTTCTGTGGAGCCGAGCCACAGATATTGAAGAGCCTGTAAAAGTGGGGCAGGCAGTGCAGCGAGAAGGTAGAGGCATTCTGGCAGAAGAAAATGCTGTTGTTGATGAACTGCAGCTGTTGCAGATCCGGGCCAACGTTCAGCTGCCGCAACAAGTTCCCAGAAGCAAGGTTCCACTCCTTCAACACACCCTCACGCCCGGCCGTGAACAAGCAGTAGGTCTCCGGTCGACTGCTGATGCACATCACAGGGGAGGGGTGGGCCTTGAAGCTCTGGAGGAAGTTATGGTTATCTAAAGCCCAAGCGTGGATCTCTCCGTTCTTGTTCCCAGCATAGAAGGTGTTCTGAGAAACACAAGTGCAGGAGCAGGTGAGGGAGAAGCCGCTGGTCGCCGGAGTGGATGTCTTCACCTCTTTAAGCTGGCCTTGGCCCTCGTGGGTGAAGACCTTCACCACGTTCTCACACAGGGCCATCAGCAAGCCCAGGGATGCGTCCAGGGACAAGTCCTGTACATACTCACGACCACTCATAGCCACTTTTTGAGCCATCTGGAGGCCCTTGCCATTTGCCACAATAAACCAGGTAATCACCGCTCCCAAAGTTCCAGAAAACAGCACCCCAGTTCCTGAGTCATAGCAGAGACAGCTGATGGAGAAACAACAAGGTACTGTGGCCAGGGTAACAAATGCCTGCCGGTGATCTCCCAAAAGCCGCAGGCGCATGTCGTCACAAGAAGCTACCAAGAGGCTGTGGGAGTTCACGTGCACCATCGATTTGATAAGCGGCACTTCAGCCATCATGGGAAATTTCATCTTCTTGACCATTCTTTTTCTTCCTGCACTTTGTTCCTGTATCCATAGTATTGCCTAGAAGAAAGCGGGAAACAAGTCTGGTCACAGGGCAGAGCATCTCTTGGGAGTGAGCTGTAAGGAAAATGGCTATCTCCTCCTGCAGACAAAGGAAGGGTTTGGTTTGAGGGGGTTTCTGGTACCAGGTACTGGGTCTAGGCCAGCAGCCCCAGGCCCAAGGCCCCTGGGTGGCATTCAGTCCACTTTATAGTGAACATGTATTCTTTGGGCTTGAGAGTTTTCTGTATAAAAGTGTCAACCTGGAGCATGGAGCCAGGTATTGAAATGAACTCATTTTCCAGTCGTGGTGGCACAGGTCTGTAATCCCAGCACCCAGGATGCCTGCCACAGTGGAAAACTTGGACTACATAGTGAAGCCAGCCTGAAACACATAGGAAGGCCCTGTTTCAATGAATGAGTGAGTGAGTGTATGACATGCATTTATTCAGAGGCGTCCCTCTCGCCCAGAAACAAGGCCATTTTAGGCATGGAATATATCCATTGCGTTCTGAAGGAAGAAGCAAAATGGATGTCTGCCAAGTAACTTTACTTGTAACTGTTTGTCATACTGTTCCAACCAGTTCAAGGCAACGAAATAATTGGCATCCAGGGAGTAGAAGAACACGAAAGGCCTTTTCTGTAAGTTATAAGATTCATGGTATAGAATCTGGTGCCGGTCACTTAGGATGGTCACATGATGCCTGATGTCGTCCTCAGTCTGAAAAGGAAAAGAAATGACAGGTGCTTACCCATTAAAAAAACCACTGCGGGATTAGTAAACACTGGTTTGGTCTGGTTGTGCCTAACTGATATGGTTCATCCTACCACTTGTAGGCATTATTTGGGAACACCTCTCCCTCAGACTCAGGCTACAACAGATCCCTTCTGGGCTTTGGGCTTTTTTTTTTTTAAGAAAAAAATTATAGAGTCTGGAGAGATGGCTCAGAGGCTGAGAGCACTGGCTGTTCTTCCAGAGGTCCTGAGTTCAATTCCCAGAAACCACATGGTGGCTCACAACCATCTGTAATGAGATCTGGTGCCCTCTCCTGGGCTGCAGGTGTACATGCAGGCAGACAGAACACTACATAATAAAAAAAAAAAATCTTTAAAAAAGAAAAAAGAAAGAAAGAAATGGGGGCTGGAGAGATGGCTCAGTGATTAAGAGCACTGGCTGTTCTTCCTGGGGAATTCAGGTTCAAGTCCCAGCACCCACATGGCAGCTCACAACTGTTGGGACTCCAGTTCCAGAGGATCAGACATACAAGAAGGCAAAAAACACCAATGCATATAAAATAAAACAATAAATTATTAAAAGAAAAAATATGGAGTGTTTCACAAATTTTTATGTCACCCTTGCGCAGGGGCCATGCTAATCTGTGTCATTCCAAATACAGTATATGTGTTGCCAAAGAAAGTACCTTCTGGATTTTCTCAACTAAGTTTCCAAAAGAAAATTAATCCTAGTGTCCCCTCATGGGTTAAAAAGGTATCTCTAGTTATGTAGCCGGGAAAACAGGGAGGCAGCTGCTCAAACCATCTCCTGTTTGCATGGTGCAGATGAGAAAGTCTAGTTGATTCTTTTCATGGTTCTGCTTGTTTGTGATTTTTCAATACTAAGGACTGGATCTACAGCCCCCTGCATGCTAGTCAGGGGCTCTACCACTGAGCCACATCTCCAGCTCCTCACTAGTGAATTCTACACAAGTGTTCTATCGGTCACCCACACTCTTTATTTTAAAAATATTTGTTTTTATTTCATACGTATGGATGTTTTGAATGTGCAAACCTGTACTTGCAACACCTGTGTGCAGTACCCAAGGAGGCCAGAAGAGGGCATAAACCCCTGGAATTGAAGTTACACAGAATTGTGAGCCATCTGATCTGGGTACTGGGATCTGAACTTCCATCCTCTGTAAGAGTAGCAAATGCTCATAATAGCTGAGCCATCTGTCTAGCTGTTTAGAAGCAGTGTCTCACTTTGGAGCCCAGGCAAGATTTGTAGCAATCCTGCATCAGCCTCCCAAGCAATGGGGTTACAGGTGTACCCCACTATTCATTCTTTAAAATTGATGAGTAGTAGTGTCACATGCCTTTAATCCCAGCACCTGTGAGTTCCAGGATAGTCAGGGCTACAAAGAGAAACACTGTCTTGAAAAACAAACAAAAACTATGTATATGTGTGTGTGTCACATGTATGTGGGTACCATCATGTATGAAGCAGTCATTCATTCACTGAACTGTGTCAAGACTGCACTCCAGTGGGCTATTCTGCCTATGTGTGAGGCCAGAGGCCATGGGCCTCTTTGAGCTGGAGTTACAGACAGTTGTGAGCCACTTGGTGTGGGTTCTGGGAACTGAACTCCAGCCTCCCGGGAAAGCAGTATGAGCTCTTAACTGCTGGGCCATTTTTCCAGCCCCTTCATGCTGTTGTTCTAATGTAGAAGAGAAAGTTGTCTGTCTATCCGAGAGGAGCTTTCCAGGGATGTTTATATCTTACCCATGCCCCGTTCTCCCATGGCCCACCATGTGCATGACTTTCCCACAAATCACCTCTCTGTCGGTCAAGATGCCATTGATGATGGATTTCAAATTCTTCCACTCAGGGATAAGTCTAGGTGAGGGCAAAGTCTTAAAACCCTTCCCATTCTTCTTCATCGTCTTGGAGTACAGAACCTGGGAAAGATAACACCTGATGTCAGGCTGGAAATTAAGGGGACCCGAGAAAGAATAGACAAGTTACAGAAGAGCAAGTATTTATGGATGGGGAACGTCCTCTGTCTAGACTTATTCATTTGATGCCTATGGGCACTTTGTGTGTGTGGATGTGTATCACATGCATGCCTGGTACCTGGGAGAGGTCACATGAACGGGGATCAGACTCCCTGGAACTGGAGTTACAGATGGCTGTGATCTGCTCTGTGAGTGCTGGGAATCCAACCTGGGTTCTCTTCAACAGTTACAAGCGAGGCTGGGAGCTGTGGTGCATGCCTTTGGTCCCATTTAATCCCATTACCCAGGAGGCAGAGGCAAGCAGATCTCTGTGAGTTCAAGGCCAGCCTGACCTACAGAGTGACCTACAGAGTGACTCCCAGGACACTCAGAGCTACATAGTGTGTTCCTGTCTTAAAACCAAAAATCAAATCAAAGATTTGAATTCTCTTTGCCCCCCTCCCCAGACATGGCCTCACTATACAGTCCTGGCTGGTCTAGAACTTACTATGCAGGCCAGGCTGGCCTCGAACTCACAGAAATCTGCCTGCCTCTGCCTCCTGAGTGTTGTGATTAGATGCAAGGAAAAAAAATGTATTTTTTTGCCACCTAAAGCAATTTGAGAACTAAAGGCAGATAATGAAAATCAAAAGGCTTTACAATTAAAAATGTAAGTGCATTTTAAAATCAGAGTCCCAGTGCTGTGAAAGGGCCATGCTGAAATGGAGAGAGAATGAGGGAAGGAACAGAATCAGAGTTCAGAAAATTTACATTCATACCCTCAGGTTCTGACCCTTCACAGTTTCTTGTTCCCCTTCGACTTTCTCAGACCGGACAGTGCTATCTGACAGAGAGTAGACATGGTCATGACCTCAGCAGGGCCAATGCCACTCATCACACTTCCGCCCAGCTGGGAACACCTGTTTCAACCCCCATTCCCTCCACACCTTCACCGTCCAGAGGACTACACACCCTTAACTCAAGAGACAAACCCCACTCTCAGCTTTCCGTAGAAGGCGAGTCACTGGCTCCAACATCACAATGCATTGGGCTCTCCCAGCCCCCTCCCCCCCAGCCTACACACCTGCTGGCTTCCCGGACAGCACCAGCTTTCCCTAAGCACCTGAAACTTCCCCAGCGAATGTGCTGGTGCTGGGAGGGCACAGGGACGGGTAAAAGGGCGAATTTACGAAGTCAGCGTCATATTGTAGCAGAATGGAGGGGAATTTCACGACGCCTTTCACGACAGGGGGTTTCTGAGGTCTTGTCTTGGGAGTCTTTCGGTCCGATGAATGATGCCGTGTTGGAGGTAGGGGCAAGAGCTAGGCGTGATTAAATATGTCTACATGGCTCAACGCTTGCCTGTGCAGCCCAGAGGTAGTTAGGGCTGATAAAATTATCTCCGATGTTCAGATACCAGGACACAACTTGTACTAAAAAGAAATCGCAGGTTTAGGCCTGGGGGGTGTAGCTTAATTGGAAGAGCGCTTGCCTGGCACGGCCGATGCCTTGGGTTTGATCCTAGCACCACATAAAACCAAACATGGTGGTGTACATCAGTAATCGGAGCACTCAGGACGTGAGGAAGTTCGACATCCTCTCCTCTTCCCGGAGTTCTAGGCCAACCAGGGATGTGTAAGACTCGGTCTCAAAAAAACAAAACCAAAAAAAAAAAAAAAAAAAAACCCACCCACAACTGCAAGGTTTGCCCCCTCCATGAAATTAAATTTTAATTGGTTGTCCTACACTTTTACTTGCTAACCCTATTTCAACCTTATATCCTTCCTTCCCCGGCAAAGGAAAACCGAGCCACATACCTAGAATGATGCAGGACCAGAGAGACAAGACAGCGGGTGTGGCAAAGTCACTGAACATGCACGAATGGGAAATGCTGGCCTTTATGACAGAGGCGGTGCATCAGCCGCCCACGTGTAAGGGAGGGGTTCTCTGTGGTCATCAGCGGTTTCTATGCCGTCCTTTGTAGCGTTAGCCCTGGAACCAAGCTCAGCAGAGCTAGCGGCAGACCTATTGTAGAGATCAGGATGGTACCCATGTTTCTCCCAACTTCAGAAGCCCAAATGTGTAGGAATGAGGCCTCTGTAAGGTTAAGTGAGAGGCAGCCTGCAGGTTCTCCTCATGGTGGTCTATCTTCTGGCCTGGGGATACAGGGATGGAATAAACTAGTGTTCTCGGAGTGGTGATGGGTCTGAGGCTAGACCAGATCAATCACATCCGGTCCATCCTTCTTCTCATGTTCTGCAAAACCCTCATTCTCTCCAGCTTGGGCTGATAGACCACAAGATAGGGTCGTCCCCACATGATGGATAGCCGGAGGGCTTGCGAGTCCCATCTACCACGCATGCGTGTAGCACGAGGGTGGGTTAGGCCAGCAAAGACGAGTAGGGGAGAGACTCAGATGCGCATGCCCATGCCGGTGGGAGGCAGAACTATCACCAGCACCTGACTCTGAGCTCCTTCCTCCTGTGGAGACTGCCACACTGCTTCAAGGCTGTCCTTCAGACTCTGGCCTGGGAACCTCACCCTGAAACCATGGAACTGTGTAGGTATGCCAACCTCGAGGACGACTTCATGCACTCCTAAGTTGGTTGGTCCCTTTAGTGACGGTGGCTGCAAGACTAGATTTCACTAGTTGCCTCCATTACCGGTTTAACCTTTAGCCAGTATTCCTTGGTGACAGATCACGACGGAGGTAATAGTATTAAAGTTCCCATCCTCCTGGGCAAGGTGGCACATACTTTTAATCCCAGCACTCAGGAGGCAGAGGCAGGCAGATCCTTGTGTGTTTTTTTTTGTTTTGTTTTTTTTTTTTTTTTTTTTTTTTTTTTTGTGGCCAGCCTGGTCTATGTAGTAGTTCTAGGCCAGCCAGCGCTACATAGTGAGACTCTATCCTAAAAATAAAATTCCTATTTTACTTTGAGTTGAGAACTATATGGATCTCTCAGGTACTAGATTGAGCAGTTCCCTGCCATGGCAGCTACAAACCATTTTTAAATCCCTTTTCCATACTGTTGACTATCTAGGAGAACTAAAAAGAGTTATATTCTGCTTTAAATTTCTTTTGTCTGGATTTCAGTTTATCTCAACCTCAGACTTTAGAACCTATTACTGTACAAGAATACTTATCCCCAGAATAAGGTTTTAAAACTGAGGAAAAAAAATGAATACTTGTAATGACATGTTTAATAATATTTTACTATTGTTATTAGTGGTGTTTTTGAGACAGGATCTCCCTATGTTGCCCTGGCTGTCCTGGCATTCACTCTAGACCAGGCTGGCCTTGAACTCATAGAGATCTGCCTGCCTCTGCCTCCTGACCTCTGGGATTAGAGGCATTTGGCCCCAGACATGTCTGGCCCCACCATGCTAAATTTAACGATTGAATTGTTCATTTGCTCAACCTACTAGCAGCCATTATTGACACAAAGGATCACTCCCCTTGATGCTTTATATATTTTCTTGACTTAGTCTTGGGACATCTTCTTAGTTTTCTTTTGGGGTTTTGTTTGCTTGTTTTTTTTTTTGACAGTGTCTCTATGTAGTCCTGGATGTCCTGGAACTGGCTATGTATACCAAGATGGTGTCAAACTCACAGAGATCTCCTGCCTCTGCCTCCCAGGTGCTGGGAATCCACGTAGAGTCTCCTCTCCCACCTTATACCGCGCTGAGAGGGGGCTTCTGAGTAAAAAGT